GAGTAGTGGGAGTTATATTTGATTAGTGGACATCCATATAAATATGTATTTCATAACACTCCCCCTTGGATGTCCATAGATAATGTGCCTCGTTAAAACCTTACTAAAAAAAACCATGGAGGAAAAAATCTTAGTGAAGGAAAAAGAGTACACATATCTTATAATACGCATTACTTGCTGCCTCATTAAAAACCTTGCCAGGAAAACCCAGTGGGATAAAACCTTAGCTAAGGGAAAAAGAGTACAATGCGTATTTGCCTCCCCCTGATGAAAATATCACTTTATTTCTCGGAGACGCGGAATTCCAAGCTTGTATAACAACTTCTCTAATATTGAGATCGGCAATGCCTTCGTGAATTTTTCCGCCAAATTATCACTTGAAGGAATTTCTTGAACATTTATTTCATCATTCTGTTGAAGATCGTGTCTGACAAAGAACTTTGATGAAATATATGATTTATTCAGTCTCCTTCAATATTCTTCTTTCAATTGAGATAAGCAAACATCAGCTTCTTCATTATTATTGGAATCTTCTCTTCAAAGAAAAGTCACACATCTTGTGAAATGATAATATGACAATTCCTCACATACAAATAGATTGTTTGAAGAACGAACTTCAATAAATGCCTGCATTTGCATAAACAACAAAACCTTGACAATATTTGTTAGAATAAACAAATCTATATCAAGGATTCTTTTTGCAATATAATATTAATCATATTTCATTATCTCCATATAGCCTTTATACTCTCAGCTGTTGGGACTATTCGTCCAAACTTCATATTTTTCAGATGAAGTCAATTTTCATTGCATATTTTTTATTTGGCCAATTATTTATCTGTCAAAATTCCATGACAGATTTGAGCTCAAGATCCTTGTCAATATTAATAATATTGAGCGCTACATTATATTAACAACATCGTCGACGATCATTTTACATCGGTTCCATCATCACACGATAAAAACATAACTTATCGAGATCTCATTATTTTCAGGTACCTGAGCCTCTCCCATGAGGTCTTATAAAGTGTTATGTCATGGTGCTCTTATAAAGCACTTGCCTCCTTATTATGACCATCTTGAACATTTGCTCCCTCCTTCTTCAAGGAGTTTTATCTTTGGAACCGATTTGTCTATTACGCTTCATGCGTGCCATAAACTCTATCAATCATGGACGTTATTCTATTTGGAGCATTAGCAGTTGGAATATGACATTTAACTTTGGGTCAGCAATGTGCCTGAAAATATTTTGCAATTGAATTATCACTTGAACTTCAAGTTCATATTTTCTTGTACGAGGATCTAAGTATACTCATGATAATTCATTCCATGTATTACTTTTTTTCAGCTGCTCATTTTCTCCCCCTAATGTTGGGATCACCAACACATATCCCCAACCTTCTTTGGGGACCAATCTTTATGCATTGTGGTGGCACAATTAAATCATATAATACATCCATATTTGTAGATGGAAATATTTGGTTCCTGACCCTGAACCAATTGTGATGGGGAGAGTGTATCATAACTTGTTGGCTAGATGCGTACAAGTGTTGTTGTATATTAAATAATACACTTCATACAAAATTTCTATTTGAAGTTTTGTTCTCATAACCAATGGTTTAGCTATAACTGGAGGCAAACAATTTCTACTAAACCAACATTATCATCACAATTTACATTCTGGAATTATGCTCTAATAATTTGAGCAAGCAACCTTGCAAAAGCCAAATTGCAAGTTGATAACCAAAGCACATGTGACCATACAATAGATGCATCTATTAAAATCATAATAATAGTATTATAATTTTTTTTATAAGCATCTGTCACATAGATTAACCCGTAGGATTTTCCATAGATTACAAGAGCCTTATCCTAATATGTGCCATGTTCATGTTTGTACACATATGGACTATTTCACTCTTTTAAAAATTACAGTGAATATACATGGATTGGTTCTTGATAAAGATTTCCGCATATCACAGGGTCAAGCTCAATTATTAAGATGATATCAGCGAGATTGGAAGTGATATAAGACATGTTGTTACCTGCAAAGGCACCAATCATTGCATTCTCAGGATCTTTAAGGTCCCTTCTTGCCTGCATAAAAACAAAATTATGTCTCTTTTCCGAGAAAAGTATAAAAAAAATTATGACTTTGTAATTTTCTTGATAGAAAGAAGTTTTTATATATAATCCTTGGGAAAAAATTAATGTAATCTCTCTCGTACTTTTAAGCCGAATTTAATTGAGCAGTTCTGCTCAATGCATACAGAAAAATATATAAATGGATGAAATCTTCATGATACGCTACTTCACTGGTGCTTCAATTTTGGACAGTTAATGGGATCTTTACACAAATAGCAGGCTGGATTCACTGTTTACTTTTTTCTAGCTGATTTACATAGATTATACACTGATTATATACGGTTATACACATATTGTACATACATACATACATACATACATATATATACATACATACATACATATATATATATATATNNNNATTTTGTACTACAAGATCTTTTGTCACACCATCCATATGGTGAATGTCTCCTTCACGAAGAAAATCATATCATAATAATTGTCATGGTCAAAATCATCATAAGCAAAATTATTTCTTGCTTTACTGTTGCCTTTAATAACTTTTTATAAGGCATGTCAAATTATTTTTGGCGTACCACATGTACGCGACCAATGACATATTCATGTAATCACACAGTAATATTCGTTATCTCTCTTTCTCTCAAACCTCCCTTAGAGGTGAGTTGTGTTGTGTATCCAATCATGCATTGCACATCTTTATTCATTACTTTTATCACATATTGTTACATTCACCTTCAGGAATGAATCTGCATTCTCAATGCACAAGTCACATTCTCTTCAAAGAATGGAGTATAATTGTCGCGACGTGCTTTATAAATTTTTCATACCAATTTGATGGTAAATATTTCCTTCACCTATTGAAGGATTACTTCGAGAACCCTTATTGTTCTCATTTTTTACAATTACCATAATGATGACTATTATTATAATCAATGGCACGCCCATGTTCATTGGTCAACCACTTGTCTTCATTTACTTATTATGCATTGCTACCACATTCACTTCAAGAATGGTGCAAATCAAGTGGGACAAGATTCATGCTTTTCCATGAAAAATATATTATTTTTCTTTAGTCATCACTATGTCATTCATATGGTGTTGGAACTCAAACCCAATGCCTGCCCCATATAAAGACATGTTAGGCCATAATGAGTTGGGACTCGAACCCAACTTTTACAATCATGGATCATCAGGACTCAAAACCCGATGTCTTACCCTCATGGTGCGTTGGGACTTGAACCCACCGTCTTATCCTTATATAATGTTTATCACAAATGGTCTGATTCACATCAGGGAATGGAATATAATTTTATGTAGCCACATAGTAAAATCTATCATAAAAATAAGCAAAATAGAAATGATAAGAACTATTATCAATAAAAATATGATAAAGTACAAACTCGTGTGCTAGTATCCTACATATAAATATGTCAATAAGAGAATCACCATGTAACGTTATTACTATGTGATGTATTACTGCATACTAATGCATGATTAAATAAACTGCACACAAGAATTGAAACACATAACTAAATATACTTAACTTAAAAAAATAAATAATCTTAAGTAATAACTATTGCTAGCATATTCTGTTTTAATACAAATGATGTCAAAATAGGCTAGTAAAACATAATGATATCACTTTGTCAATTATCAGCATAAAAATATTGCACCTAATTAGATTAGGCCATCGATCTTAAAAGTCCTCGTTAATACACAACATGACTAGAATGCTTTTTAATGTTTCACAAAGATCTTTTAATATCATGGAAAATCAATGATAGCATGATGTTATAATTGTATAAGATCAATTTTAGAACTAGGAACAAAGTTAGTGGACATATACAACCATACGAGCATGAAAACTTAAAATCAAAGCTTAGTTTTTTCTAAATAAAGCAACTACAAATCTTAAATTTTAACATAAGCTAAATACACAATTTATGGTATAATTTGAAAAATAATACTCCCTGGATAATACAGGCAAACTAAACATTATATGGCATTCGTACTAATGCCATATTTCCATTGGTTCAAGGTTGTCAACCATTCATATCTTCTAGGTTGATTAAAGCTTCGTGCTGATAACGTGTTACGAAACTCAGCTCAAAATAATAATATAAAACAAGAAGATAGACAACAATGTAGAGAGAAAGAGAGGAGAGAATCTATTTCTTCCATGTATTCAAGTGTGTACAATGTGATGCCCAAACCCTCTATTTATAGGATGATATAGGTAATACAAAGGGACTCCTCCATAAACATGGTATTAACTATTGAAAACATGGGGGAAGATCATGGAGGTGTGGGAGTTACATCCATAATGGTAAGAAGTAGTGGGGGTTATCTACATAATGGAGAAGAGTAGTGGGAGTTATATTTGATTAGTGGACATCCATATAAATATGTATTTCATAACATTACTCAAATTTTGTTTAAATAACATTGATATTCTTTTACAATCGCATACTACAGAATTCGGTATACCACCGAGAGACTAGTTATATATATATAAGTTAGTGCCAAATTAACACGAAAAATTACTATAACAAGAAAAATATTGGATATCTTGCTAATTAGTATAAGCTAATACCATAAATAAATAAATATATTGTACTATATGATTGCACATATCTATATAACTTCTAACACGTATTACATATACTATGAAGAATTAAACGAGTATAGCATGTTCGGAAGGGAAAAGGACAAAGATAAATAAAAGAAAGAAAAAAAAAAAAAAGATAAGAGGATCATATAAGTTTTATTTCATTTTTTCCCTTATATATAGAGTTGTGTAATTTTAGAAGAGTAATTCGAAATAACGGATAGATCCGGATTGAGTCCGGTTTGACCCGTCCTCTAGACGCTCCTTGGGGAGATGAAGCCATTAAAGGTAGCTCCCCATAAATCAAACGGTCCAGATTGATTCAGAAAACTTGAGAATCCTACCATAACAAATTCAAACCTATTGTAGACCGTTGAAGAATCAAATTTCTCTCTCTACATTCTCCCATTTCTCTCTCCCCAATCCATCACTCCATTTCTGCAAATCTTCTCGTCCTCATACTACTTCTTCATCTTCACTGATTTCACAGTTGCTGATATACTCACAATGGACGGTACTTTTTTTTTCTCTCTCTCTCTCCCTCTTTCTTTCTTTCGTACAAATTCCTTACCGAGATCTATATTGTTTATAAAATTTCAAAATTCTGTGTTTTTTTTCCAGTTCGAACCCTAGAAAAGCTATGCGACAATTTTGATCAAGCAGTCACCATTTCTGGGGACAATTGGAAGGCTTCAACCATTCCAAATGGGGGTTCGTTTTCTCTTTTTACCTCCGTTTGTTGTTTTATATTTGACTAAATCAATTGTTTGATTCTTTACTTTTTTCTGTGTGATGGAATAATTAAAAAAATTAATTAGCTGTTGGGTAGACTCTGCCGCATTTTTCTTTGTTTTTTCTACTGAAACTGTTCGGAACTGTAAAGAATTAGCTAATTAGTTGCCTCCTTGTTATTCAATGAATGTGGAGAATGTTAGGATGTCTGAATTTGTTATGCCTGATTTACCGTCCTGGATTGTGAGTTACAAAATGTAGTAGACTTCGCTTCTGAATTTAACTATCTTTTCACAAAGACGATTTCAAGAGATGAGTCCCTGATTCCACCTAAAGCTATAATGTGAGCTGCTGGTCTGTTGTGTAGACATTGTCAATGGATAGGCTTTGCCTCTTACATCTGTTGAATTGTTGTCTTTTGAATTGGTTCAGTTAAAGTCGACAGAATTTCTGAGTCAGCGGATGAGAGTAATGGTTCACATTCTACTGCAGAAGTATGTCCATCTCAAGAGCATACTCTTCCAATTCTTACAAAGATTGAAGATCTTAGAAACAAAGTGCTCGTAAGATGTTAACTATTTCCTTCTATATGTTTTAATGGAGATATAATGAGTATCATTATTATTCATAACTATTACTTGTTTTTAGGACTTGAGGAAAGAACAGGCAGCATTACGTAATGAAGTTAAGGGCATGAGTATGGACTCTTTTCCTGGTTCTGAAGCCTCTAACGCTCTTCAGCACATGAGTATGAAGAACATCTCATAACTGGTATTTTATACAGTTGGGTGCTATCAATTCTGATCTATTTGTTGTCTCTTTGGCAATATCAGGTGTCCAACATGAACTTCTAAAAAAGAAGTATGATGAAGAGTGTGAACTGCTGAAGAAGAAGTATCTGGAGGAGTGTACTGAAAGAAAACGTCTATACAATGAAGTGATCGAGCTCAAAGGAAATATCAGGGTCTTCTGTAGGTGTAGACCTTTAAATTCTGATGAAATTGCAGATGGATCAACATCTGTAGTCGAATTTGATCCATCTCATGAAAATGAACTGCAGATCTGTGCAGGTTCCTCTAAGAAGCAGTTTAAGTTTGATTATGTGTTCAAACCTGAGGACAACCAAGGTAAGTCGGTATCTGTGATTTGATGTGCATATCCAAGATTCTTTTGTATGGGATTTTTCTATAGCTTGTTGCAATTTGACTTCTAAGCTCTGTAATTTTCTAATGCAGATGCCGTCTTTGCTCAAACTATGCCCATTGTGACCTCTGTTTTGGATGGATATAATGTCTGCATATTTGCCTATGGACAAACTGGGACGGGGAAGACGTTCACCATGGAAGGGACACCAGAAAATAGAGGAGTCAACTACCGGACTTTAGAGAAGCTATTTAGCTTATCTAGTGAGAGAAGCAGTATCATGAAATATGAGTTGTCCGTCAGCATGTTAGAGGTTTATAATGAGAAGATAAGAGACCTCCTGATAGAGAACTCAAATCAACCAGCTAAGAAGTAAGTTCCTAAGCTCTTTATTTTACTGGCTTGGTTGTGCTTTAAAGCTTTGACAGTTAAGACCATAATGCTGGTTATGGCTAGATAAGAACATCATTCTGGGTTGGCATATAATCTCTCTCCACAATGTAAAAAGATACCAAAGTAAATGTATGTGCTAGATTTGGAGATCACAATGGGCATAGTTTGAACTGTAAAAATTGTTTCTGGAAAGTGTTAAAAATAATTGACTAATCAAGTTTCAATAATATCAAAACTTCAAAAATTGATCTCATTAGTATATATTTTTTTCACAGTAGCTAAAGTCAGGCGAATAGTATCTTTTAAAGAAAAGCCTTTCTCCCAAAAACACGATATCGACTCAGTTAATTATGTTTTATGCATTTTTATATTATAAAAAACAGTCTTCAGATTCATTAAAGTTACTCTGCAAGATGGAATTAGAAACAGTGCTTTGGATAAATATGATATAAGGGCTCAGCTCGGAGAAAATACTAGTAAATTGGCTCGCAGTACCAGTGAGTAAAGTTTAGTGAGCCAGAATCTATAAGAAAGAGAATATCTACGTGTGTCTCTGTGTATGTATTTTAAAGAAATGATTTTATATTTAAACATTAAACAGGTTGGAGATAAAACAATCGGCAGAGGGAACTCAGGAAGTTCCAGGACTTGTGGAAGCTCGTGTATATGGTACAGATGAAGTATGGGAACTTCTCAAGTCCGGAAGCCGGGCTAGATCTGTTGGATCAACTAGTGCTAACGAGCTTAGCAGCCGTTCTCACTGGTATGATTAACAGCTTTTACTCTGGATTCACATTCTTCTTTCCTCTCTTCCTTTACATATCTCCTGCCAATGCCTTAGTTTAGACAAATTTCAAAGAATTTAGTTTTACTACCCGCTATTAGTCTCATCAATGAAGAATCACATTTTCTTTGTCACTTTTACCTTAGCTTACTGCGGGTGACTGTTGTGGGGGACAACTTGATTAACGGCCAGAGGACTAGGAGCCACCTTTGGCTTGTTGATCTCGCTGGCAGTGAGCGTGTGGGACAGATAGCAGTTGAAGGTGAGAGGTTGAAAGAGTCACAGTTCATAAACAAGTCATTGTCTGCACTTGGGGGTGTCATTTCTGCACTAGCCTCTAAGACAGCTCACATTCCATACAGGTATTTCTCCTTTCATTTGTGCATGTGATAACCACTTACTACTATTTTTCCTTTAGATGACATTGGTCCCCTCTGCACAACAGGAATTCAAAGCTCACTCATATGCTGCAGAGTTCTCTGGGTAAGATTCTTTAAAGCATCTGTATCATCACTTACTAGATAATTCTGAATTTTGTGAACCTTAAAAATATTAAGCCATCAGTTTAAATTCCAAATTAACCTGATGAAACAGCAAATTAATCCTCTAATGCAGGAGGAGATTGCAAGGCGGTCATGTTTGTCCAAATCAGCCCTAGTACGACAGATTTGGGAGAAACTTTATGCTCTTTGAATTTTGCAAGTCGAGTCCGAGGAGTTGAACATGGCCCTGCTCGCAAACAGACAGATCTTGTAGAGCTCATGAAGCATAAACTACTGGTAGTTATAAACAAACACCTCTTTCAATGAACATACATTTCCACTAAAATGTTGTTCAGCTAATACTGTGATGCTCATCAACAGGCAGAAAAAGCCAAGCAAGATGAGAAGGAAACCAAAAAATTGCAGGACAATTTGCAGTTTCTGCAGCTGAAGCTTGCTAGCAGAGAACAGACATGCAGAAATCTTCAGGACAAGGTAGGAAACAAATTAGCTTCTTTAATGGAGTTCCTTAAAACTATCTGATAGTGTCACGTTTGCAGTGTAAATGTCTAATCTTTTCCGAAAAGACTCTAAAAGAGCTGAGCTTTTCAATTTCCCAACAGGTTTGTGATCTTGAAAACCAATTGGCAGACGAGAGGAGAACACGTCTAAAACAAGAAAGCAACGCTTTCCCTGGAGTTTCTAGAGAGTTCACTACCATATCAGCTTTAAGCCAATCACGGAAGATCATAACAGAGAAGAAACCACCACTGGCTCCTTCAAAAGCATTGAGATTTCCACTAAGAACCAGCAATTTTTTGCCCCCACCATCCCCTCTTCCTCATCCAGCAAAAGCTAGGAAGTCATTTGTGCCATCACATGGCAAGGAAAATTTAGCAAGCACATCAACGACAACGGCAATTCTGAAACCAAGGCGAGGATCTATTGCTGTAGTTAGACCATCACCTCAAGGAGCAAAGCAGGTTTTGCAGCCAAAAAGGCGGGCTTCTATTGCAATCCTTCGCCCGAGTCTAACATATCAACCCAAAAGGCGGGCTATGCAATGCTGATGATATCACATGGACCATAGGGGAAATGTTGTTATATTTAAAACCTTTCAACCTTATGCTTTGTTACCAATGTCTTGTAAATGGATATCCACCGACTTGCTTGAACATTGTGCTTTATGAGATTAATGTACAAATGGAACATTACTGATTGTGTGAGTAAAAATTCACTTTGTTACATAATTATTGTCATTCTGCGTACTTGTGACATTCAATTCTAACTGATAAAGTTTGTATTTCTTCTTGTAATTTTCCCTGTAGTGGGTGGTTGTACTAACCTCTTGACGAAAAACAAACGTTCAATTTAATTTGTTTAATTCTTCTCATTTTGTCTAAGGAATAGGGAAGACTCCACTGGATAGTAATATCATGACTCGCGATACTATTATGGACTCTTGGCACTAATTGTTCCTTTTGGACTTAAATCAAATTTAATTTGATAAAAGCATCAAATCAAATTGTCTGATATTGGAAGATTTAAACAAAAAAAAAGGTTGTTGATAGAAATGATTCGGTTAACAAACATTTACTTCATCCTTGATCAGTCTTGATAGTATTTGTGAGAAAGCACGGGAGAAAATATTATTGATCTTTCATTTAATTATAATACAATGTGCCATATTTATACAATACATATCATACTCCTATTCTATGAGGGACAAGGACTAATTCATATTATTTACATAATTATCTAACACTTCTTCTCAAGCCGGTGCATACAAATCATATGTACCGAGCTTTGGAATCAAGTTACAACTCATACTATATTGATGCCTGCATTTTGGAATCAAGTTGTTTATATACTGAAGATAATGGGACCTCTTTTTAAATCCTTACAATTAGTTGACAATGAGAAAAATCATGTTATGGGATATATTTATGAAGCTATAGATAGAGCTAAAGAAGCCATTGCAAAATCATTTGAGGGGAAGTCTGCGAAGTACAAAGATGTTTTTGAGATCATTGATCAAAGATGGGAATTCCAATTGCATCAACCATTACATGCCGCTAGACATTATTTGAATCCCAAGTATTTCTATCAAGATCCAGCCTTTGAGAATTGTAGAGAAGTAACGAATGGACTATATGCTTGTATTCAAAAATTGGTTCCAAGTATTGAAGTTCAAGATAAGATTGTATCTGAGTTACCATTATATACAAGAGCTGAGGGACAATTTGGATTTCCCATGGCAAAAAGATCAAGAGCAACGAGATCTCCGGGTATATAAAAATTCAATGTTTACAATTAACACTGCATGGCTTCACGTTCAATATTTACTTACCACTAAGTTATATCTTTTTCAGATGAATGGTGGAACCTATATGGAATTCAGCCACTCATCTCCAAAAATTAGCCATTATAGTCTTGAGCTTAACCGTTAGTTCAGTTAGTTGTGAGCGTTATTGGAGTGCGTTTGAACATGTGGGTTCTTATTAGACATTAGTTACATATAACTATTTGTTATTTTATTTTATTTGGTTAATTAATACAATCTTACAGTGTTACTAACAATGAGATCCATAGCAAGAATAGATTAGAGCATAAAAGATTGAATGATCTAGTGTATGTCAAGTATAATCATGTTCTAAGAACTCGCTTTGACTTGCGGAATATCATTGATCCAATCTCATTGGATCATATTGATCATAGTGAGTGGTTGGTTAAAGAAATGGGGGTAAATTTTGAAGCGGAAAATGAATTGGTGTTTGGGGGAGATGATGACTTGACTTGGGGCGATGTGGCTAGAGCATCAGGAAGTGAAGATGCACAAACATACTCATACTCAATGAGACAAAGTAGACCATCAAAAACTTTGGCAATCGGTGCTTCAAGCTCTCAAGTTCGATGTATTAATGTAGATATAGATGATGATGTTGATTCTGAGGAATCAGAGGAAGAAGATATTGAAGGTTATAATTCTAGTGATACCAATGAGATTATCCAATTGAAGTGGATGATGACAACTTAGATACATATGATAATGCTAGTGATTAGAATTTAGAAGTAGAATAGTTGGTTTTGTTTAGTTGATAGTATATCATATTTTTCACCATAATGATGCTATATTGATAAAAATAATATTACATTGCTCTAATTTTGAATATATTTGTCACTTATGTTTTTATTATGTGATCTGTAAATATATTTTATATTATTTGTTACATTGAATTGCCTGCGCTTTGAGTGCGCTTTGCGCTTTAAGACCCAAGGGCCCTTGCCCAAAAATCTGAGTATACCCTTTGGCAACAAGACGAATCTTAAGTCGATCAACCTGGCCATCTGGACCCACTTTGAAAGCATACACCCTACGATAACCAACAATCGATTTACCCAAAGGAAAAGGAACAAGCTCCCAAGTACCACTCATATGTAAAGCAGACATCTCGTCAATCATAGTTTGTCGCCAACCTAGATGAGACAGTACTTCACCTGTAGACTTAGGGATGGAAACAGAGGAAAAGGATGATACAAATGCAGAATGGGGTGATGACAGACGATGGTAACTTAAACCGACATAATGGGGATTAGGATTAAGTGTGGACCATATACCTTTCTGTAGTGCAATCGGTTGACTCAGAGGAGACAAGTCTGCAGTATTAGCAGAGTTAAGTGCAGGACGTGAATCAGCTGGCGTGATGCTGGGCGATGATAAGTCAGGAGTGGTGGAGTTGTAGAAGGTTGAACTGGACTAGGTAGTGGAACAGGAGCTATAGCTAGTAGAGCTGCAACTGGAGCTGTAGGTGGTGAAGCTGGATTTATAGAGGAAGATTAATGAGAGATAGTGACTGAATCTCCAAATGATGAAATTGGTAGCACCTCAGAAATATCTAAGTGATTACCTGGACATGTGAAGTATGATTGGCTTTCAAAGAAGGTAATATTAGCAGACATAAGGTGTCGCTGGAGGTCAATAGAATAACATCGATATCCCTTTTGTGTTCTAGAGTAACCATAAAATTCGCACTTAAGAGCAAGGAGCTAACTTATCTTTTCCTAGAATAAGGTTATGAACAAAACACGTGCTCCCAAAGACACGGAGTGAAGAGAGAGCAAAGTTAAGTGGGGAAACAAGACAGAGAATGGAACTTGATTCTGGATGGCTAAAGATGGCATATGATTAATAAGTTACAACATGTAAGAACTGCATCCCCCCAAAAACGCAACGAAACATGAGATTGTATGAGCAGGGTACGAGTTGTTTCAATAATTATGTCTATTCTTTCTTTCAGCTACCCTATTTTGTTGGGATGTGTACGGACAAGATATTTGATGAATAATCCCATGAGTGTTTATAAACTATTGAAATGGGAAAGAAAAATACTCTAGGGCATTATCACTACGAAATGTGAGGATAGAAACCCCAAACTGATTTTGAATTTCAGCATGGAAGGTTTGGAAAATAGAAAACAACTCAGTTTGATTTTTCATCAAAAATATCTAAGTGCACCTAGAATAATCATCAATGTAACTGACAAAGTAGCGGAATCCCAAGGTAGAACTAACCCGACTAGGACCCCAAACATCTGAATGGACTAAATTAAAAGATGGCTCTGCTCGATTATCAAGACGCCGAGGGAAATGAGAGCGGGTATGCTTACCGAGCTGACATGACTCACACTTTAAAGTGGACAAGTGAGATAAGCCAGTTACCATTTTCTGAAATTTTAACAAACCAAGATGTCCCAACCGTTTATATAATAAATCTAGTGAATCAGTAACATGATAAGTTGAAGGAAGACAAGATGTGAGTATATGTGATTTTGCAATGATAAGGTAATAAAGTCCATCTGATTCACGCCCGGTACCAATGATCCGCCCTGTACTGCATTCCTGTATAAAAATAAGGTCATCAAGAAATAAAACAGAGCATTTAAGTGATTTGGCTAAGCGATTAACGGCTATGAGATTAAAAGGACTACTGGGAATATAAAGAACTGAATCTAAAGGTAAGGAAGGAAGTGGACTTGCTTGACCTATTCCAGTTGTCATGGTTTGAGACCGTTGGCCATTGTGACTGTTGGGAGAGATTGAGAACATGAAATAGTAGTGAAAAGAGATTTATTACCAGAAATATCATCAGATGCACCTGAATCAATGACCCAAGACTCAGAGGTTAAAGATTGGGAGACACAAGTCATGCTGCTATCTGTTTGAACAACGGAAGCTATCCTTGAAGATGTTTGTTTACATGCTTTATATTAAAGGAACTCAATATAATCCGGTAAGGAACCCATCTGGATTGCATTGGATCCAACAGGTTGTGAGTCAAAGGCTTCTGATATGAATGCAATTATAATGTTTACGCCGAAAAAAGCAAATTTTTTTGGGAATTACTGCCCACACCAAAAAAATTACTATTTGCGCCGGAAAATATACAATTGATCAGAATTTTATTTGAGTTAGATGGACAGACTCAAAATTATGAGGAGAGTAGACTGTCCTGAATAAGATACGCGAAAAAATGGCCAAAAAGTGGCCCACACGCCGGCGCGTGTTCGGAACCCTAGCCGAAAAAAGATTCTGTTTCCGGCGCGTGGCAGCTTTTCAGCTGTAGAAATTTTTAGGGGTAGGTCGCCGGAGGGTGATCTACCTCGTGGTGGTGTTGGTTGTTGCACAACACTGACAGAAAGTGACTTCACGTAGGCAGGCCTAAGGTCACCAGAAAAATTATATGATGACTAAGTCTTTTCATCCCGGTTAAGCTGGAATGACACACATCAATTTTTTCTCACTAATGCTCTGATACCATGTGAGAAAGTACGGGAGAAGATATTATTTATCTTTCATTCAATTATAATACAATGTGCCATATTTACACAATACATATCATACTCCTATTCTATGTGGGACTAGGACTAATTCATATTACTTACATAATTATCTAACAGTATTATATCAAGGGTCATATGAAGTTTACATGCATGTATAGCAAAAGAGTTCCTTCAAATTCACCATGATTACTCTTATCATGAAAACTGAATACACTCGTTTAATCTATACTCTGGTAATCCATTTTAAAAGACATCCAAATGTTTTCATAGGTAGAGGGAGTGCATTGCGAAAGGCTCCTGGTGTTGACTGTACAGTGATTTAGATCTAACAGTGAGCGACTGTTCTCTTCCTTCTCATCCACACCCCCAAATATTATCTAAGAAAGATCAGCACGAAGTATTAGAGAGAGAGAGAGAGAGAGAGAGAGAGAGAGAGAGAGAGAGAGAGAGAGAGAGAGAGATCATACTTTTTCTATGGGAAACTTATGAACAAGTTAAATTACAAAAGGTCAGGATTACAATGCAACAACGAAAGACTTACTAGTTGCATATTTCTTACACTGAACTATATAGACTTCTAGAGAACGTATAACTACTATTAGAAGAATTAACCAAATAGGTGCCCACCTAGTCTTTTAAACTAAAAATAGCCGGTAGATGTATAATATATAATACATGTATAATATATGTATAATTGTGTATAATTGTGATGACCCGATAGGTCATCTAGAGTTTTAAACCCTAATTCCGTATTTCAAAACCTCAAATACCTCATTTTACCTTTCCTTGATTTGTGTGCACAGATCGGGTTTTTTCTTGAAGGCTTTTATGTTAAAAATTGATAAAATATGAACCTTAAAAATTCATTTGAGTTGACTTTAGTCAACATTTTGAACAAACAGACCCGGATATGTGTTTTGACAGTCCTGGTGGGTCTGTATCGTGATTTGGGCGTATGCCCAGAATCGAATTCGGAGGTCCCCAGCTCGAGTTTTCGTATTTTGTTGCAAAATTGAAGTTTGAAGGCTTAATGAATCTAAATGTTTGACCAATGTTTGACTTTGTTGATACCGGGTTCGCTTTTTGGTTCCGGAACCCAGTATAGGTTCGATACTATATGTATGACTTGCCTGTCGAATTTGGTGAGAAACGGAATTAGTTTGACGTGATTCGGACGTCCGGTAGTTAAAATAACAATTGTAAAGTTTTCATAAAAATTTCACTTGATTTGGTGTCCCATTCATAGTTCTAGGTGTTATTTTGGCAATTTGATTGCGCAATCAAGTTTGTATTATGCTTTCGGACTTGTGTGCATGATTAGTTTGGAGTCCAAAGGACTCGGGTGAGTTTCGGATAGGCTATGGAGTGAGTTTTGGAGTTAGGAAAATAGTTGGTGTATCTGGTTCTGGTGTTGGTCTCTGATCTCGCAATTGCGAGGTCAGTGTTCGCAATTGCAAACATTCAAATCCCTGTTAGGTTCACATTTGCGAACCAATTCTTCGCATTTGTGAAGAATGCTTGGGTCTGCAAGGGATCGCAATTGCGATCAAAAGGTCGCATTTGCGGGGGACCAGAGTTCGCATATGCGAACATTTCATCGCAAATGCGATGAAATTAGAGGTGCGAAGGCTTCGCAATTGCGGCGTATTTTTTGCATTTGCGGGGTTCGCAATTACAACATCTACAACTGATCAAAATCTGAGTTAAACGGTAATTATCTCATTCTTTCAAATTTTCAAACCTAGAGAACCTTAGAGGCGATTTTCCCAAGAGCCCTTCTTCACCAATTCATTGGTAAGTGATTCTATCTTTCAATCTTCCATTACATTTCATAAGATTTTAACCTAAAATCTAGTATTTTCATGGTGGAAATTGGGGGTTTGGTAGAATTAGGGATTTTTGGAAAAAAAATTAAAATTTAGACCTCAAATTGAGGCCGGATTTTGAAATAAATTACATAACCGGGCTCGGGGGGTGAATGGGTAACGGGTTTTGGTCCGAATTTCAGGTTTGGACCAAGCGGGCCCGGGAGTTGACTTTTCCAATAATGACCTAAATTGAATCTTTTGCAATCGTGGGTAGTTCCTAAGGCTTAATTTGAATCGTTTGGTTGGTAATTTGCCAGATTTTGTTGTTTCGGTGGCTTGTTTGAAAGGCAAAGCGGTGGTTGAGCTTTGAATTGATCTTTGGAGCGAGG